AGAGAGATAGACGCTCTCGCTCTGGTTCCCTACGCGTAAAACAGCGCTCTCGGTGGTTCCCTAGCCCGTAACACAGAGCTCTCTGGTTCCCTAACGCCGTAACACAGCGCTCCTCTGGTTCCCTACGTAACACAGACGCTCTCTGGTTCCCTACGCTGTAACACAGACGCTCTCTGGTTCCTACGCTTGTAAACACATCGCTCTCTGGTTCCCTACGCCTGTAACACAGACTCTCTCTGGTTCCCTAACGCTGTAACCAGACGCTCTCCTGGTTCCCTACGCTTGTAACACAGACGCTCTCTGGTTCCCTACGCTGTAACGCTATACTGATGTACTGATGTTTAGGCCTGTCTATTTTCTGTTTATTATTTTTTTTCAGTGGTCATTTTCTAGACGGTTGACATGTATATGTTCAATTATTAAATATGGTTAATAATATTTTAACTTACGCGAATGATTACTGTCTGCCGCTCTTTAGCTGCTTAACGGTGAAACGCTTCATACACTGCGGTGAAGAGCGATTAAGGAGTATGCGCTCTGCTGCTCAGCATGACTCAGCAAACGGAGAAACAGGAAGCTGCTGATTAAACGTCAGCACTGTGAGCAAGGTGAGTGGACACACCTGTTCATTAGCCCTGATGTCTCTGGACTAGTGTCAGACCTGGTCTCAGTGTCAGTCTGTGTTTCAGTCTTGGTCCTTCAAGGTGATCCGCCAGACGGAGGCATTGGGTCGGGTCATGAGGAGTCAACGCTGTGATCTGAATCAAGGTCCTCTGCATCGCCTGGCGACGCCTGATCCGAACAAGCAGCAGGTGAAGTAAGAGCTTACAGGGTCTTCAATCAGCAGCTGGAGGCCACAACCACAGGTCCTCTGGGAAATACACAGATAAACCGTACACCTGGCAAGATTGCTGGCTGTAGTATTGATCCATGTCTACCGATTTGATTTAAGTGCTTGATTTAAAACCTGGGGTGGTTCCAGTTTCACTGTTGGTAGGATGACAGCTTTTAGTTTTCCATGTCAGTCAAGTGGAGCTGCTCTCATGCATACAGCCTGATCACATTGATCACATTGACACATTGATCACATTTAGCTGGGGGGAGTGCAGCCAAGCAAGCACGACACTGAGTAACGATGTTCGCTAATGCTACTGATTTCCCCCCTACTGCTGCAGCTTCAACATTAAAAAAGCATTTAACTGGAGAAACACGAGTTGAACTTTTATTTTGAAGCTAGTTAAAGGAAGTGCACAGTGTTTGTCAGCCAGACCACTGGCTGCAATCCTTCATGTTGGTTAACACCACTGTTGACCAAGATTCACCCACAGTGTCACTGTCCTTACTAAGGTGCGTAATTTATTGATCTTAATGTGGTTTGTCTGGTTTTGTGGGGGTGTGTTTGTATGTTGTCCTTTGCCCAGCTCACATGGCGGCTGGAACCCCTGTGTGTTTGTTGTTGCCAGGTAACAGCGAGATCGACCTTGGACAAACTGAAGCGCGACGCTATCGTCAGCTGAGCCGTGACTGCTACACCAACGCAAGAGCAAATACAGAGAGCCTAGCTTACAAGGTCTGAATACTCAACCTTCTGTCTTAAAGGGTTTGAAATGTTCTGTTGATCTTTGTTTACCCGACTCCCGCCCCTCCTTTTCGCCAATCACCAGGCCGGGAGGCGGAGCGTGCCGGGAGCGTTATGACAAAGCAACAGCAAAGCTCCAGCAGACCTTCCACACAGTACGCTGTTCGGCGGTGTGCGGCCTGCTCGAACGCAGCAGGAACGAACACCGACGCCGCGCTGCACCGCACTGCTTGACGCTCTTGCAAGAGGATGCAGGAGGACATGACCCCCCACTCGCCCTGTAAGTTCACATGACACTAAACGGCCTCCGCACACCAACCCCGACGCGCCCGACCGTCGGCGACAAAGCAGTCGGACTGATCAGTCGGGCTCCCGTCTCCTCGAGTCGTCAAAAAGTGGTTCAGAAAAACCAAACCGACGCCGACTGGAGCGTACGTTCTGCGCATGCGCGAGGCGTAATCACGTCCCCATCAACAGCAGGCGGCGCTAATCTGTGTTCGTCGCCCAAAAAAAATTAACCGGAAATGACGGATCATCTAGACCTAGTAACACAGAGCCACGCTGGTCGTAAGTCATTGTTTTCATCAGAGAGGTGTTGATTAGTACTGCAACAAGGATCGTTATTTCATTACTCGCTGACGGAAAATAACGATGATGATGATTCTAATGTCGAATCGGCCAAAATGAACGCCGACGAGACTGACGACGGCACGGGACACACGAACCGATTCGAGTCAACGACCATCGCCGACTGTCCGACGACAGTCCGACGGCCGATAATCGGTTGGTGTGCGGAGGCCTTTAACAGACACACTGACCTGCTGATACAGCACTGTGGACATATGATATCTGGTATTACTCAGTAAAAGTTTCTAGAGGAGTACTGTGACATATATATCCTGTATTACTGCAGTAAAAGTATTCTAGAGGAGGTACTGTGACATATATAATCTGTATTACTGCAGTAAAAGTATTCTATGAGGAGTACTGTGGACATATATATCTGTATTACTGCAGTAAAAGTATTCTAGAAGGAGTACTGTGACATATATATCTGTATTACTGCAGTAAAAGTATCTAGAGGAGTACTGTGACATTAATATCTGTATTACTGCAGTAAAAGTATTCTCCTCAGTGGATGGAAGAAACAAGAAGTGGCAGACGACAGAAACAGGGAAAGAGGAGGACAAGAATAAATTAAATGAACATGGAAATGAAAGAGAGAGAGAGAGAGAGAGTGAGGGAAAAATGCCAGAGAAAAAAAATACAGTCAGTAAAATCCTCTCTCTTTGTCTGTCTCTCTCTCTGTCTCTCTCTCTCTACCAGTCCTATAAAATAAATGACAATAAGTTGACACATATGAGGAGAATCTATTCTTTATTCAGGTGAAAAAGCTGCTCGGGAACCTCCAGTTCGCCGTTACCGTCGTCGCCATGTTGAAGCAGGCTGAGGGGACGACTGCGAGTTGAGCTGCTCTCATTGGCTGCGCAGTTTGACTCGTCTTTTAACCGGCCAATAGCAGCGTCACATCCATCCAATGATCTCTAACAGCATTACCTTTGTTTGTGACGGTTGTTCATCAGAACTCTACTAATACAACGTCAAACACTGCAGCTGGGTCATATAAAGAGTGAGAAACATACGGAGGATCAAACAACTCAAGAGACCGCTGTTCACGTCCGTGTTTAAAGTGCACAATTTGTTAGCGATGTATTTTTCTTTATCGAGAGCTTCCTCATGTACAACCGTCAGGATACAGTGAGTTATATAAATGTATAAGTTTCAGCAAATATGACAAATAGTTATTTTTATAAAACTTACCTTGAACACCCAATCACGGTGAGACTTGAGCTGGGCTAGCAGTTTCCCCCTCATTCCAGTCTTTGTGATAAGCTAGGCTAAAACACCCTGGAACTATCTCTTCGCATCTAAAACATCCAACTGGATGAACTGTTTAGAGAACTGATACCGGACTCCAACATGGCACCCATTCATTTCAACGGGAGCTAGCCAACACATGCTGTTTACTGTTTGCAGAGTTTTCAGAGTTTGTTTGGTTGGAGAAAGTTTAGAAAATGTGAAACCTTCATGGTTTTAAATACAAAAAGTAATGAATGACCTTGTTTGCAGCTGGAGGTGTCAACAGTTTCACAAACATCCTTTTAAAATGGAGGTCTTTGGGGAGGGCTGACTCACGACTCCATATCTAACTTTATCAGTCCATGGGTAATAAAGTGTGTGTGAGTGTGTGTGTGTGTGTTTACCATGCGTAGGTAGTTCATGAGGCTCGTCCCGTGCTGCCAGATGAGTGGTGAGCTGCAGCTCAGCGGCTTCACTCCGATCTCCTGACTGCGGTTCAGCTCCCGAACGGCGCTCACCACCACGTGGACCGCGTCGAACATCAGCGCCGACGACAGCTGGGATGCAAAAACACAAAAACAATACGATGAACAAAACTGCGAAAAGCCTCCACGAGCTTCTCGATTGAACCAACTGAGGCTCCGTTCACACAGCTAGGTTTAGTTCCTTTCGGTTTTCATGTTGGGAAAATGATCCTCGTGCACACAGATCCACAGAAAGGATTCAAAACGTTGTCGTATGCAGGCCAGACCAGTAGGTGGCGGAGTAACTTAGATTACTCAGCTAATGCACCTCCAGCAGACAGAGCAAATGTTCACGCTCTGGTTTGATCTCCACCAACTCCAGAGAAAAACATCTGGCTCTGTAGCAGCGACATTTCTACCCCAGCTGGTCTCTGACTGTCTGCTGTTCAGTGCTGAGCAGGTGGAGTCGCTGAGAAATGTGCCGTAAAACCAAAACCAGGAGCTAAAAGAGGCACAAAACCTCCATAGAGCTGCATAGTTGGTGACTGATCTCTGTCATTTGATTGTTTATTGTTCATACAGACAATAAAAAAGGTGTTTGTGTGTTTTGTTCGCACTCCTGCAGGCGAGGACGTCGGGGAACGATAGCAGAGAAAAGAAAAAGTGAAGCGCTGCTATCAGCGGCGTTAAGCGCGCTGCTCGTACGGCTCAGTGATCCTATCGCAGTCTGACGTTCTGGTCTGTTTGGTCAGTTGTCAGTCAAACCGACGCTCTGAGGGAATCAGACAAATCGTATGGAGGCAGAGCTGCACTGTCTGTCGACGGCTGATAAAAAAGATGGATGTATGACTGAGTGTGATTGGAGCTTTCCCCGAGTCGATAGTTTCAGGGCCGGATGACGATAACTAATTACAGTTTGAAGAGAGAAAGATGGAGGGGGGGAGATAGAGACAGAGAGAGTGAGAAATAATTGGCAGCTCTCACCAATCTGTCTGTTTGGTCGTGCAGCTGCTTCCTCTGGTTCACAGCTTTAAGAAACATACTTCAGGAAACATTAACTTCACTTAACCGTGTGTCAAGATCTGGTTCTCACACTGAATATTCAAACTCATTAAAGCTTCTTAACGATGAGTTACAAACACAGCGTCAGGTCAGTGTGAGACGACTCTGGATGTGATGTTCAGGGGGCGTGGTGTACTCAACCTAAACATGGTTTGTTACACAGGAAGTTGGATACTGTTTAGAAAAGACACTTTCAAAAAATACTCTGCAAGTGACGAACTATTAATGAACCAAATTCTGAATCTAAAAGTTAGTTCCCTGCAAAAAATATCAGGTTTTCATTGGGAACCAAAGTGGGTGTGTCATATTTTACAGGTTGTTGTACATTGTGTAACTCCTCCGCTTGTTGATGCATTGTTTTTTACAATGGTTCTGCTCAAAACTGGTGGACTGGTTCTCTAAATAGCACCAAGGTTCAGAGAATCCTGAACAGAACCGGTTCTAAACCAGAGGCGCCCAAACTTTTTCCCTTTATAGCGTCAACAGTCCAAAAAATGTATGATATTGTATTCTTAAGAACATACTAGTTTCCCAAATTCTCTTTAATTGACTGACTTCCTGCACAACGAGTCACTCTCAGACCTGCTGATCAGATTATGAAACATTAGTAGGAATTAGGGATCCTACAAAAAACAGCATAAACAGCATTTTATGATATATTCTTTACATCTGGCGGGCCAAATCGAACCTTAACGGGCCAATTTTGGCCTTTCCTGATGTTATTGTGCTGACCTGAATAATTCCCTTTATTATATGTGGTTAATGATTGATTACCATACTTTTACATGAAGTGGAGGAGGCAGAAAATGTTTGATAAAGACACAACAACAGGCTGTAGCTCAATAGAATATACTTAAGAGCTGTTATATCATCATATCACTCTGTCATTTCAGACTCTGATCATCATGTAATGGCCATAATCATCACAATAATAAAGCTCATTACAATCAAAACAACCACGTTTATGGCTCCTTCAAGCACCTTAAGTGAATAAATATGAGTAATAAACCCCCCGGGGGACGCTCTCTGCAGTGCTGATGCCGTCTTCAGTTATTGAGGCTGACGCCATCGTCATTATTATTATCTGCCCAGGTGTTATTGCCTCCGCTGATATCGGAGCTGCAAATGAGACAAACCGCTCTGAAGAGATTGATTTGTCCTGATGGGCCCACTCGTAACGCAGGAGGAGGGCGATCGATGGAGGAGCAGTGAAAGGAATTCTGCAACATCAAATCAAACCTGAATCTCCACAAGTGCCCTTGAGCAAGACTGCGCCAACGTTTTGTTGTTTGTGTGTTTTTTTACCTGATCGTAGTGTTGAAATCACGACTTAATTTCCTCTCATAATAAAATGGAGTGCTCATATTTTGTAATTGAACTCATTATGCGGAGACCACGTCCCCAACCCTGACCCCTTCATTACGCCCAGACTCATTTTTTAATGTCATTATCTGGAGATGTTTCTAATTGACCGTTTATAAAAAGCAGTTACACAGAAAAGAAAAGGCTTTGCCCTTTCAAAGAGATCTCACAGAATCTGAGCAGCAACAAGGATTCATTATAGTCTCAAAGTTTTATGTTAGGAATGTACAGTGTGGGTCCCTTGCACTTAGAAACGGACAGATTATAACTTGCATATGTTGGAGAAATTACCATAATTAGCAACTGTTGGGCTGATGTGAAACATTTTTGGGGGTTATTGAAGATGCTGAATCCATTTCAAAGTACAAAATGGCCGGTCAAAGTGGAGGTGGCTTTACTTGAACTCCTAGTGAGTTTATTTTGATTAATTTGAGGTTATTTATGTGCTTAATACATCCGACCTGTAAGATGTAATATATCTTAAAATTTCTGAGCATTCTTGGAGTTTTTTTTGCCGCGCAGCATTTTATAATTGACCTGTGTCTTTGCAGCTGGGGTTACGTATTAAGCATATCAAAACCCTCAATTGTATCTAAATCAGCACATTAGGAGTTAAAATATGTCCACCTCCAGTTTAAACATCAATGTTGTAGTTTGACAATGTTGATTCATGATGATGATTCAGCATCCTCAATAAACCCAAAAACCACTTACATATTGTCCAAATCAACCAAACATTTAAGTGATTATACTAATTATATTCATTTCTGATGCTGGGGACCCACATGTACATTGGTGCTCTGTTGGCTGGAACCTGATCGTCATATCTTACTTATAATTCATCCATTGCCAAAACATCAAACTCTGGCAGAAATCGTTCACGGACAAGGAAGTCAAGGAGACGGCATTACCTGAATAAAATTACAGATTTCTGAAGACTTTTCTCGATGTAAAAGATGTTTTCACTCTTCTCCCGA